GGGAAACTCAGGGACCTGTCAGAAAAATTACAAAATTAGAGCTGAGCACTGCATTCAGCAAATAGATGATACAGACATGGCAGAAATAAGTAGTGCTGGGAGCTAGGTTCAGATAGCACACACTGAAATTTTAAGTAACAGGAATAAACCACTTTGGATACTTTCTATATCTATCTGCAATTTCTTTTGGGTCTCACTACCGGTAAACACTTAAGTCAGCTTCTCTTTTCTTTGCCTCTTCAGTCTTCACAGAACTGCTTCACTATAAGCATAATTAAAAAAAATTTAAAAAGTAATACCCTGCTGATACCTATTTCAGGATTCTTTTAATCCCCAAAATTGATTTTTCCTCTATTCTTTCAGTCTCACTAATTGAAATGCTCCAGGGAACAGTCCCTATGGAACATGTGAAAATAAGAAAGAGTGCCTAAACTGTACTTCCATTGCATGTCAAAACAAACATCAGATGCTTAAGACAACAAGAACAGTACTGTGATGCTAATACATTAACTTTTTCCCTCCATGCTGCTATCAAAATACATACAGCAGATTCATCATCTTACTGAAGAACTGTAGTTGTAGAACACAGTTTTCCCTTACTAAAACCAGAATAAGGCCAACTGGTATTCTCTATTCCCAAAAACCCCCCTGGCTTATGGCATTTTATCTGCTAAATGAACAGGTTTATATGCACACAACTACACTGAAACAAGCTTTATAACCTGATGGCAGCAAATTGCATAGTGAAATAGGAGGTACTTCAAATGCCAAGCCATAAAGCTCTTTAAGACTGGAACAGAGAATCAAGATGACATGATTACAAAAACAGCACAAAATAGCTGGCTAAGAAAGAATGATGACAGTGTCTGTGCCTGGAAAGGGTCTGAAGCCACAGAAGAGGAAAGGGTCTGTGAAGGCACTGAAGTCACAAGAAAAATACACATTTCTTTAAGGGAAAAATACAAGAGAAAGAACAAAGGAAGAAACATTACCTGTGGCACTAATGAAAAACAAAAGCAAATTTGTGGTCAACGTTGACAGGTACCCAGCACTAAAGTTCAGCTAATGTTCTGGGAAGGAAGTAGAAAAAAAACCAAAGCAAACCTCAAAGCCTACAAACCCCATAAATTTACATGCAAGCTATAGTAAAAATATGTACACAGTGTCTCGTATAGTTAGAATTAAAAGACATCTCTTATGTTACATAACTTATACTTCGTTAATGCAGAATTTTAAAAACTTATTTTTTAAGGAATAAATTAATTATCAAGGTCTTCCTCAAAAGAGGAGAAGAAAATGAAATGTAATTGCTTCCTAAAACTGGTTACTGGCCAAAAGGGACACGCAGAACTCTACATAATCGCCTGACAGCCTTCCTGCTGACCAAGCTTGAACTTCTTGTACTAATAGATTTGACTCCTGCCAACATTATCTGACTCCAGGAGCAGGCTCTGAGGACCACTAACACAAAATGAGACATCATGGTCCATGACCACAAGTGTCAGAACTTGACCCTTACAATACATATAAAGAATCAGATCACTAAAACATGCAAGCATGTGTTCCTTTCTGTTGAAGTCTATATCCTAGGTATACACGTGAATGATGCTGGGAAGAGGAAAATCTGAAGAACCTACAATCTAAAAAAAATTCTTAAAACTCTGCTGAATGGGGAGTATCCCTGCGCTTTCTGCAGGAGTTACTTTTTCCACAACTGTGTAATTCTTGGCACTTGGTAGGAAGTATCCACCATGGTGCTTGACTGTTCCTCATAAGGGCTGATTATGCTCCCACAGCCATTTAAAGGAAGATTTAAAAGTATGACATAATCACCTACACACCTATGTTTTCTGTTCCTCTTTTACAGTAGATAAACATTACTTTACAATAAAGAATACATCTCGCAAAGGAAAATTAATTTATTATGCTTAAAATAATTTTAGCCACTCAATTTGTCCCCCTAGTCCCGTGTGCAGAAGACCAACTACCAGCAGTGACTCCAGCACCAGTTTCAAGCATGAGATTTATGCTGGCACTCTTATTAGAGCTGAGGTAATTTAAGAGGAATGTCAGCACAAATTTACTTTTCAAACTTTATTACTCTGCTTTAAGAAGAGAAAGAATGCCTGCTATTGTAATTTTTTAAATATTTATAAAATCTTTGGTATCTGGTTTTAGCCCTGCAACATTAAAAATCAAAACTCTAACATCACCACACAACATGATTCCTTTATAAGAAAATAGAAAACAAGAATTAGGAAAGCCCTATTTAGTGAAAATAAAGTTTTTAATGAGAAACGTGATCACTTGTCACTACAAATAAAATTCCAGGCTACTGTTGAATTAAAAGAAGCTACATGTGGACTGCTCTGCAAGCTACGAGCTTGTGAATTTGGCTCCCAAGGGTATCTGAGCCATTCAAACCCACTTCACTTTGAATGTGCAGGTTCCTACCACAGAGAGTCGTAAGGGGATGAACATCTCAAGCTAATGAGAACTACACCAGTTGCATAACTTTATTCCTTAACCAGAGGCCACATTCTCACCCTCCTCTCTGTAGACTGAATTTCCTTCTCTTCTTTAGGTAAAGAACTATGTAACCTACTTTTAAATAATCTTTATTTTTCTTTAAAAAGCAGGATGATGGAAACTGTCTTGGTGGCCATTGGGTAGGCGACCTTTTCTCACAGCACTGTGACATTTCCAAAAAAAAAAAAAAAAATCACTTCTCTACCATCAAGGCCTTCCAAATTCATCTCTAACAGACACATACTACAGAAACCCAGGAAAGAAATGCAGCAGCTGAGCAGAATAAAGCAGTAAAAGGGAACCATGTGGGGAAGTAAAGAGGCAACGTACTCTTTGGCTTTGCAAATAGCAGGCAACAGAAAAATCACCGGGTTTCCACGACACTTTTCTTGTTAATACAAATGGCTTTTTGAACACGGTAGTCCAAATTTGTAATTGCAGCATTAAGGATGAAAACAAAAGCCCATTCTGTGCAATCAAAAAGGAATTCTAACAGAGTGAACAAAATGCAAAAACAACAATTTATTCAGTCTATCCCCTCCTGCTCTGCCGAATGCCTGCCATTAGGAAGGCACTGTACTCAGGTGGTGGTGCCACTCAGCCCTTGATCTCAGACAAGGCTCCCAAGACGATGCCATTTTGAGGAAGACACCTGTCCACTGGCAACAAGCATGAGAGCATCAACTCATTTTAAGCTGTGCAAAATGAGGCTACCATATGGCAACATCTTTCAGTCACTACAAAACTTGCTTCCAAACTGAAACAGCTACTGAGAGGTGAAAAGCTCCATATCACATTTCTAATCCCTCCTCTCTGCAATTTATTTTTTTCATTTTATAATTATTCATATGTTTTCCTGGTCTTACGGAACTTGCTCCCTTGAAAATGTTCCCCAAATCACTTTGACTTTCACGTAGCAAGGATTTTTACAATGCACGTGAGAAATATTCTGTTGCCCATTATCTACTTGATAAAACACACTTCTTAAGAAAAAAAGGTCAGATAAAAATTGGTATAATGTGGAGCTCTAGTGGTAGTGGGGAAGTAAAGCAGCACATAACATTAACAATAAAAGAGTAGATATTGACCTTTAGTAGAAAAACAGTAAGCAAAAACATCATAACAGATGGATTTAAACAAGGAAGAAGGAGAAGGGGAAGAGCTAAGCATCTAATTCAACAACATTTCTGGCTCACAGAATACGTCTCTACAAACAACTTGATGAGTAACCCTCATTTCCAGTGCACAGACTTGAATCTTGTAAATTATTGCAGTTAAGCAACAGAAAAAATAAGGTCAACACAGTTTGCTTATGTTAGCCTTAAAGGAAAAAAAATATATATATAGTACAGCAGGAAACCAACGTTCCTTACCAAAACTAGCTGGGAGTAATTCTATGCACTCTTTCAAAACACTCCTAGTCATATATATTGTCCTTTTCATGATAGCCATGGCAACTCCTATACCAGCCAGTAAATACTCTGCTCTCAGCTGTATCATCAGCAAAATACTGTACCAACCACCGCAAGCAGTTTTAACACTGAGATTCAGTAGTCCTTTCAGACTGATGAGTTTGGCAGGAATTAAAATCCTAAACTGAAGAGCGCCTTCGTTATATACACGGTACTATCTCACATCCTTCTGGCAAGCATAATCAGCTTAAGTCCTGTTGACAGTCGATATTCCACCTTTAAAGGAGATGGTTTTTCATACAGAGTGACAGGATATTTAAAGCATGCTCTGCATCTACTGTTCATCATCACACAGGGGATGCTGGCATTCCTACATCACCCTGTGAAACACTGGCATTATTTACTTAATTTTTAAGCTGCTGGTTGAACTTTGGTATACATTAGAAGTTTATAAATCTAAAACAACATCGACAGTTATCAGTCTCAAAAAGGAGAACAGTTATCAAAGGAGAACAAAAAACACAGGAAACATTACAGTGTAAATGTATGAACAGTTGATTCCTGTATTAGGAGGGCCCATTTCCAAAGTCAAGCAACATCTCTGGTTGCATAAATATACACAGTTCTGAACACTCAGTAAGAAACCTGCAATTCCTTCCTAAGGAAACTGCTTTCAACCAAGACTATAGAAAAATGAGACTGGAAAAGCTCTTATATATATTACTGCTAACTTGCAACAGACTCTCTTCCTACTTCAATCTATGTTATAAATTGTTCAGTATTTTTCCTAGGGACATTTGTTCTACTTCCCAAGCTGAGCACACAATGCCTTGATTCAGTACTACCCCATTTAAGACAAAATATATTTCAACTTGTTAAAGTAGATCAATAACTTCTTCATAAGTTTTTTTGTTTGGCAACAGCCAGATTAACTGGGTTTTTTAACTACCACTAATTCCAATCCATTGCCACGGTGCAAACAAGGTATTCTGGGCTTTACACCTTTTCCACCCAAGGAACTGCTGTTGATTGAAGGGGCATTCCCTGGATCTGACTTACGTGTATTCTAAAAACCTGGGACACCAAATACCCCAGAGTTACAAGCCTGAGAGAGGAGATTTCCAAGCTGTGCCTGTTACCTGGTGGGCAGTTGCACTCTGGAGCCGCTTCTCTAGCTACTCGTATTTTTGCCAAGTGCTCGTAGGATTTCTGTGGGCGAGAGAAGCAACGTGAGGGCACTGGGCGAGCAAGCTCCGCCACAGCTAGCGCTCCCGACCGCGGACGCCAACCGGGATGTACCGCTATTTCACACGCTATGCAGCCAGCGATGGCTTCTCCGCTTGGACTCGGCCTAAGGTGTCTTAATGACTTCACCATCCCCACAACAACAAAACCGAGCCCGACACCTCCGACTCTCTCCCACCGCCGCCGCAAGTGGACCCTCGCCTTTTTCCCTTCTCGACACGCGCGGTCCAGAATCGCGGGGACGGCGGCAAGTTATAGAGGAGCCAAGTGCCGGTGTCGTACGCAGGGGTCCCCCGCGACCCCCCATCCTGCCCGCTCCAGCAGCCCGGAGCGCCCCCCCCGGCCCGCCTCTCCCCCGGCCCCGCCGCCCCCAGGGGATGCAGGCTCACTTTCGCCGCTTCCCCCCGCCACCTCCCTCCCGGGCAGCTCGCCTCGGCCTCCCGCCGCCCCGCACGCAGCATCCCCCATCCCCGGCACACGCACACCGCCCGAGAGCGGCCACCCCCCGTCCCGCACACCTGGGCGAGGAGTCGCTCCACTTTCTCCTGCATCATCGCGTTCAGCTGCTCCAGGGAAAAGCCGGGCAACGGCGGGAGCGGGGCGGCGGCAGAGAAGCTCCCTCGGGCGCCTTCGATGGCCGCGACCCTGGCCTGGAGGTCGCTGGTCCGCACCCCCAGGTAGACGCAGGAGGCCGCGGCCAGCGCCGAGAGGAGCGCGGCCAGCGCCGAGCCGAGCGGCCCGGCCCGCCGCGGGCAGCGCTCCCCGCCACAGCCGGGCGTCCCCAGGCCGGGCTTCCCGCTGCCGCCGGGCTTCCCGCTGCCATCCCGTCCTGCGGCTCCTCGGCTCTTCCCCAGCGTGCTCGCACACCCTTCAGCTGCGGCGGCTTTGATTTCCTTCCCTCCGCCCCCCATAGAGGCAATTAGTTTTACAAACAGCGGCAACAAAAATAATGGCCAAAAAAAAAAAAAAAGTGCGAGAAAATAAATAACAACAACAACAAAAAAAAATAATCAACCTAAAAAAATGCGGTAAGTAGAAGAAGAGCCCGCGAGGGGCTCACACACTTTCAAGGCGGAGCGGCAGCGCGCACCGCAGCCCGCACCGCACCCCGCCCGGCAGCGGGTCGCGACTCACCCCCGCAGCGGGGGCGGCGGCGAAAGGGGGGGCTGTGGCGACGAGCCAAAAGCCGGCGGCAGGGCTGGGTGCGGGGTGAGCCCCCGCGGCTTCCACCCGCCCTCCGGAGGAGCAGCGCGCTCTGCTAGCGGTTTGCCACTTGTCAGAGAGGTTTTCAGGCGCGGGGCGGGAAGCGCACCCCCCCCTCCCCGCTGCCTCCCGCCCTCCTCCCCGCCGCCGGCGGACTTGTTGCTGCCCCTCCACCTGCCTGCCGGCGCCCAGCAGCCGCGCCGCGCCAGGCGGGGAAGCCCGCAGGCAGCCCGCGCTGCCCCGCTGTCAGCCGCGGAGCCGCCCCCGCCCGCCGGCCCACCTCCCGCCCTCATCGGCATAATTTATTCACCTTAGGCACAGGGACGGCCTGGGAAACGCGGGGGGTTTGCCCTGACTGCTGCGTGCGGGGAGCGCGGAACACCAGGCTCGGAGATTTGGAGAGCGGGGGGCGCCGAGACCACAGCGGAGGGTGGGGGCGCCCACGCCGGGTGGTAGCGGGGAAGGGGCTGCAAGGGGCGGCCGGCCCCTCCGGGGGAAGCTCTGGAACACTGGGCTAATTTACGGCGGTTTATGGCCGGGCTGTCAATGCCCACGGTGCGAGCATAAAACAGAGGAGAGATCTGTTGTCCCGTTCTTTTTTTAGAGCGCGGAGGATAAACGTGTGTAACTCAGCAGCCCGGCTCCCGGAAAGCGTGCAGGCAGGCGAAGCAACGTCTTGCTTCCAAGGGAGCAGCACGCACTAACTCCCCATTGTATGGAGAAGGTTTCATTTTAGCCAGTTTTCTTTCTGCTTGTTTATTTACCCAGTAGCTTCTTCACTTTTCCATGCACACTGGCCAGTTTTCTGGTTTGGTTCAATAGAAAGGAAGCACCAACATCCAAAGAACTGCACACATGGCCTGATGGGAAGCTTGTTGGTTTCTGGTCCTTCCCCCCCTGCCTCTTATCTTCCAAATGCTGCAATGACCTGCTGTAGTTTGGTTCTCATCTGCGCATTAACCCAGTGTATCTCTTACGTAGCACTTTTGTGTGACATTTCTTGTGCTTAGTACACTTTTCAAACTGGAGAAAATTCTCAAAGCAGGACCAGACATCAAAGAAACATACAGTTCACCCTGGCTGGCATCATGTGAATACTGACTACTTACAGGATACAGATTCACTGGATGAAAAAGAGACTTGTCCAACTATGGCACTTCTCAGACAAGACTAAGAGTATTGGTTTGTACTGTGAATCAAGTTTCCTTAATGGAGTCATATTTGTGCAGTTTTATTACCTATTGTTTCCCGAGTGTTCAAGCAGTCACAAATGCCATGAAGATGTGGATCCAAAAAGCTTTTGTGGGTTTCAGTATACTTACTTGAACTTTGAATAAAGTGTACCAGAAGTTCACAGCTAGTCATTTGCTCCTCTTAATTTGTCTCTTCTTTCTAAACAAAAAGTTTTGTGGACTCTAATCGGGTAGAACAAATCACGATTACATAGCCCTAGGTGATAGTTTCTTCACAATAAATAATAAAATAGTTGCAATGAACAGTTGGCAAACAAATTTCCCCCAAGCAGCACATACCTTATGATCAGGACTTGTGAATAACAACTGCGCTTTTCAAAACATGGACTTGCTCACAGACTGTATGTTGGCAACCAGAAGATGAAATAATATTTGGAATTAATAAACTGACAGAAGAAAACAAATACTACCCACATGCTCTTATTTGGTGCGTAGCATGGGCTCCCCAAGTATGGTATGAGCAGTGCCCAGGCTGCCTCGCAGTGGCTGGCGGCCCACGAGGCACTGGAAGCCATCGGCGCCAGCTCTGGCACTCCACGTTACCCCCTGCTGTTAGTGGCCAGCACCATTACTCAGCCCTGCTCGTGGGTGACATCCAGCAAAGTAACGCTGCAAACCCTCAGGATATGATTGTCATTTTGTGCTGGGGGTTAGTGAGGTGCCGCTGGGGGCAGGATGGCTGCCCACACCCCGCTGCTGCTGCCTGCATGGTATGCAAGTGTGTGCTGCCTTATCTAGGCCAGCGTGAAATTTCCTCCTGAGATCAGCTCTTGTTATTTCAGAGCAGGTACGGACATCCTCTGGCTGCTTTAGTGCCCCAAATGGGGCCCAGAAAACCATAGGTCAGTGTGACCTGGCTCAATGTTTTGCTTGGCCAAATGATGCGGTCTTTCTGCTCAAGCATCTTTCTGTCCCAGCATCATGCCGTTTGTTTTGGACAAGGCATATTCTACATCAGAAATTAAATAGCCTGAGACAGAAAGCCCCTTCTTACATTAGATTTACATTGCATTAGATTTACAAATCATAAAGATTGCCAAAGGAGCCAGATCACCATGTTTCTGTGGGACACAATGCAAAGCTGTTATCCTAGTGAATAACAAATCTCATGCTAGATGTTTCTCGTTCTGAGAAGGTATGATAAGAAACCTTTTTTTTTTTTCCTGTCTGAGACAAACCAGGAAAGAACTTCAAAATATCCAAGAAATTTCATGAGTTTTTTTCACAATGGGTAGCTATACCTCTACACACCTGGGAGAAATGTTAGCCCTGCCTGGTCTCACCTCTGAAAAAGACGAGGTTCATTCTCATGTGTGCACGTCTGCTCACACACATCCTCAGACAAAGAGAAACATGATGAAGAAGAGTGAGAGGAGAAAGAGCAGTGCCAAGTCTTCCTTCTTGCTCCAGCTTAAAGTTACATTTTTCTTTTTGCTAAAGCTTTGTTCTGCAAAAGATGTCAGATAAAAGCTTATTAAAATGCTTAGAAATTATTTGATAGTGACAGAATTTGAGAACAAATTATTTCCAGTAGCTTTTTTTCTAATGTGTTTTCGCATAGAAATAGATAACAGAAAGTCTTTGAAAATGCAAATTAGTAGTGTGCTCTTCTTACAGAAAAACCGTGGTGATTTTCCTGATGGAGGCATTATTTATCCACTTCACAGCAAGGTTGGTCCAGAATAGACTAGACTGGACTGTGGAATCTGAGCAGCAAGCTAAATTATGCACAGTCTGATTAAATCTAGCACAGGAGTTGTTTGTGTAGGTGAAGAACATAACACAGCTGTTTTACCTGTTATAAAAATCTCCGGTCACGTCTGCCCAAATAGAGAGCATTAAGCAGCCGTACCCTCCTGTGCTCAGTTACTTGATACCATCAAGTGGACAACCAGCAGCTTTGCAGTACATTTGTCCCGTAAACACAATAAACTGGATTAAAAAAATTGTTAAGACACAGCATTGCTGCTTTTGCCAGCTTTCCACAAGCGGGAGGCAGAGCGAATCCAGGACATGCATATGTTCAGTGCCAGTGAGCCTGCTTCTTATTTTGCAGCCATGATGATGCCAGAGTCAAGAAGGCATCTACTTAGGATCATAACTAAGATTAAAACCAGATTGCTGTAGCACTTAGGAGAATGCTATCCATGCAATGAAAGAACTGGGCTTCTTCTTTTTTTTTTCACCCTCTCTCTCTCTTTAAAAAAACTACTATTTTTTACCTTTTTTATTGGTGAAGATTTATAGGTTTTGAATTAGAGAGAGTAACTTGGTCTAAGGAGTTAAACTCCTACTCCAGGAATAAACCAGATGGCAGTTCATATGGGCAAGCAGTAATTTAACTGCTTACAGTCAGGAACTGTATCTCAGATGTTGCTGGTCACATTTAAGATGATATACCATGCAAGTTCAGGTTACAAAACACTTAAAATGCTTAAAAAGCCTATTTTGTATCTTACAGCCAGAGTATAGCAGCTTGAAATAGGAAGTGTACACCAGGTGTTCATTAACACGTACTGGTAGAGGTATAAGAAATGGCAGATCTGCAGCACTCCAATAGTAGCAAAAGGAGGAGAATTTTAAGTAAGGTCTGCTGAAGTGCTCATGCACGCAGACCTGAGGCAGCCACGCTTCCCACCAGGAGGGGAGAGCTCTCACTTTGAAGATTCGAATCTCTAAAGGCCACATTTCAGCAGATCTTGTGCATGACCAGGCCAAAGGTATTGACACAAGATGCTACTGTTTGCATTTCATAGGTCTGTGTTTGAGGATGTGGATGGTGTTTGCAGATAACAATTTTCCGCCAGACAGGACTAGTGTCTGGAGTTCTTTCCATATTTTTATGTCTACAGCATGCTGTATTCTGGCTGACCAATCCACAGTCAATTACTGGATTTCTTTACCAGATACAACATAAAATTGTGATTAAAATTACGCAAAAACAGAACAGGGAAAACTAAGCACTCGTCTCCTGAAACAATGAGCCATGTTCAATTTGTGATATATTTTGCATGTATGATCAGAAAAGGCAGAAGACAGAGAATAAATACAGGTAGGGATTGGAGTCTGGGACTTAGTGTTAGAACTAAGGTGACACACACAAAGATAAATGCTTCAGTGGTTAATAACGGCTATGCAAACTGTTCTTTTGCAAAGGTTCCTGCTTTCAAACGGAGCTTATATATTATTCATTATATGTGGACTTGAATTGCATCTGAATTCTACTACTTTCTTCATTCATCTCTCTCTTACTCAGTTCAGCCTTTGCATTAGAGTGCATCTTGCACCCTAAATGAGATTTTACTCAGATTTTATATACTTATACCGGTAAAACTCAAGGTAGAAGCAGAATCCAGCACTTCTGTAACTTGCCTCACTTCTCAGCACTCTGGCAGGTTAGGTAGTATGGTATTTCTCATTGAGCTGCTCATAATACTTGCCAAGATAGCACAGAATCACCAGAAAAACAACTTACTTCACTGTTTTGGGAAGAAAGCTGGAAAAGCCTTTCACTTTCAAATACCCAAATTGATTGCCTTCTGTCACTTTAAATTTAATATAAGCACATTACAGTATACATGATGCAGTACATTAATATACTTAGCAGATGGATAACACTTGCCTGTGATTTAATGCTTAGATATACTCATTTCACATCTACTGTGCAAACACTTCATATATTTGAATTTTAAGTCTGACTTATCTTCAGAGTAGAGGTAATTGAGTCACATGAGCATAGGATTTAGTTTATTAGTTCCATAACCTTACTGGTATTTTGGCAAACCTGAAATTGAAAATAAAAAGATAAAAAACCCCTTTGCATCTGGATTTTAATATATTTCACAGGATTTCCTTTTTCAACATGATGAAACCAGCTCTCCTAGACCTACAGACTGATTCACGACAAAGTTCAGACCCTGTATGT